TGCTACCTTTGTACCGCTTCTGAATTCTTTATGGTTTTTTTTTGCGCTTACCTGATTAAGTAATAATTCGACAAAAAAACTCTAATTTTACTCTTTCATCACAATTTTGGTTGGGAATTTCGGCACACCATTAGTCACACTGTTCCTCGCATACATATTTATTGAACCCCCCTTACATCATGATTCCCTTGTTTATTAAAAAGTAAAATTAGAAAAAAACTGAACTCTTTTTTTCCTTGTTCTGACTTTTCGAAATTTGATCTACTCCTTCTTCTCTTTCCGTATCTGGCAATTTATATTAAGCACTTCGGCTGTACATTTAAAGCGTTATTTTGTCTCATATTCTATTTCTTTATTAAAATTCTACAAAAGTTTTCTTTCCATTTCCATCACTCTTTCTTGTTTACACTTTTTCTCGTTTCAAAAAAAAATTAAAAAGAATATTAAAAAAAAAAAAATTAAAAAAAAATTAGAAATTTTGAAATATTTTTAAAAACAGTATTACGTATAAAAAAAATAAAAATAAAAAAAAAATAAAATACAAAAATAAAAATAAAGTTTTTTTTTTTTAATCATGTCATCTACTATGCATGTTGTCGCTCTTATAGATAAAAAATCGCGACAAAATGGTGTGGAGTATGGAATTGGACGTTATCGATATGAAGAAAACCAATTCGGAACCATTCGTTATAAAATATTACCAAGTGCAAGACAAACAAAATATTGTCTTCCATTCTCTGAAGGCGATGTTGTCACGATGGTGGGAAAATTTTCTTATGAAATTGTTGATAAAATAGAATGTTTCACGGTAATTAATTTTTTTTTTATAAAAATAAGTCCTAAATTTATATAATTTATTTATATAACTTAAAAATATATGATATATATATATATATTTTTTAGATCAACGTATCGGTTGCAACGCCGTTCATGAAACCATCATCAGGATGTTGGGAATCAGAAGAAATACCTTTATCTTCACCGTATTTGAGTTTTAATACTCAACCTATTCCTGGTTCTTTACGTCAACTAGAAAATTCACAATTTGTAAGAACAAAATCCACTCTTGATAGTCATTATTCTCGTCGTTCAATCGATCAAAGATTTCGTATTGGTTATCAAATTGATAATGATAAATGGGATAATATGGCTTTAAATTGGGAATTATATTCTCAACTTTTTATTTCCGGATTTTTTCTTCATGCTGATAACGGTGAATTATATATTGAAGCTACTGAACTTGATGTTGATCATTCAACAAGAAAACTTGGAAAACATTCAATAACTGGTTCTTCAAGTTCTTCTGTTATAGGTGTCAGTTCGTTAGCAAAAAATTTTGCTAGATTAATGGAAATGGAAAAAATTCCTGGTTTTAATTATTCAAATGTTTTACCTTCAAGAACTTCCGAACATTCTTTTGTTAAACCTTCTCATAGAAGTCCTCCTGTAAATGCCATACAAATTAATCAACAAGAAACAAATAATAAAGATTCTTTAGAACAAGATTTTTTTAAGGGTATACAAGCTTATCATCAAATAATGCAACGTATGTCAACTCAAGGTCCTCCAAATCCTTCTTTATCAAATCATCCTGTCGTTTCAAATGTGAGTGGTGGTTCGGATCCTCCATCGGCTGAACAAATAGCCGAATTAATTTCTGATCAAGGTACGCGTCACGATAAAGCTGGTACTTTCTTGAGGAATAATTCAAAAGTAAGCTAATAATCATTTTTTTATTTATATTTATTTCTAAAATTTTTTCAAAAATAAATAAATTCATATGTACTCAGACTTTTATCCTGTATCGGTTCGAAATTGGCAGAATAATCATCCACTTACAAAGCAGATTCCAAATATTTCAGTATGGCAACTTCCTCAACATGCTCAACAAGATATTCATCAATATAATAATAATCAACAATTACATGATATTCGTCATCAACCTGATTCGACTCAAAGACCACGTGATAAATCTATTCAACAACAAATTAATTATGATCAACCTTATCATCATTCTTCTTCACCTCCCGTATCAAATGAAGGAAATCAATCTATTTCAACTTCAACTCAACGTGGCAATAAACATAAAAAAGATTTAACAAAATCAAGTGGTTCTTCAACTCGTATTTCTTCTCAAAATGATCGTGAAAAAACACCTTTACCACCACAACAACAAACTGATATATCAATGATTTCAATGCCACTACCAAGACCTGAATCTGAATCAGGTGAATCACAACAAGCTTCTTCCGATACTATTGATTCTTCTAATAAGAAAAAATCTTCAAGTAGAAAAAAATCTCCAAATTCCGATAAATCAAAATCACTTCGATCTGTTACAAGAGCTACTTTAGGTAATAGATTTATAGTTTATGAACCAAAAGTTGGTCAAGATGATGAATTTATTGGAAATATTAATGATTTAAATAGTGGTGATGGAAATGATAATAATAATAATAATAATAATAATAATAATAATAATAATAATAATAATAGTAATAAATCAAGTCCATCTCATGCTAATGTAAAAAGAGGTAGAAAAAGTAAGAGTGGTGATGTAACAAGTTCTGGAAGATCTTCGAAAAAATTAAAGAGTAATAATAATAAGAAGAATAATGATGGGGATGGTGATACGAAAAGTTTATCTGATAATGAAAGTAATGGAACTGCAAA